TACGCGTTAATGTTGTGAGAGATCTGCTAGAAAACTTCAATCAAAAATATACATGATATCTGGCCAATGGTCAACAAGAAAAAATCATTTAGCAGGGGTGCTCTGGCACTGAAGAAATTTCACTAAATTAATACATAATCATGTTTTTCATAATACATATAACAAGTTTTTTATTAATTGTCTTTCAATTTCGCAACTCTGGCCTTAAGCTCAACATTTTCAGCCATAATTTTATTGTTCTCAGCCCTATTATTCTTGAACTCAAGCCTAATAATACATATTTCACACAAAAAAATACAGATGAATATGTAAAAATAATCAGCCACTAGAATACTTTATTGATACAAAAATAATAATATATAATATAAATTATAAAAAAAGAAACTCTAATCATCTTGTATTGGAGTAAAAATTATAATACTATCTTCTTTTTGTCTTTCTGATATAAAAATAGATACGTGATATAGTAGAAACAAATTTGTAATTAATATATTTCGTAAAAGTAAAAGGGTTTTCACAAATTTAGTTACAACACTCATATCTGACAATCACATAGGAATTTCAGCTGATTGTAAATGAAAATATCTATGAATATTTGCTTTATCTCTAATAAGTACATTCAGATGCAACATATTTCCAGCTACTTTCACTCCAACTATTTCAAATTGATCTTTCTCCAGTTTAAAGACTTTGCAAATCCAGAACATTCTATCGTTATTTTCTCTCTATAGCTTTATCTTATCATCTATCTTTTTCTGTTGACTATAGTATAATCGTGAATATTTGACATACATAAGTTCAAAGAAAATATCTAAATATTTTATCACATATATAATATCTAATCGTCTTTTTACTTGCCCTTCACCTTTTCTATCTGCACTAGCAATACTTTGTCATTTTGAAGTACTAATAAATGAGGATAGTATAAAAGGAAGATTTTTTAATATTGCTCGAATAAATAATAGAATAACTGTTAATTGATAGGTTCCTTTATTTAGCGATTTCGCAAGTTCATAATTAAAAGCTGGGTTAATCTAAATATCTTTCAGAAGAATTAAAACTTCTTTTATAACATCTGCAATTTTTTCTTCCGATTCTTTTCAGGACCCATTATGAATTAGTTTATCTAATATTATATTCTGAATGTTATGATTGATAAAACTTGTTATAAAATTTTCACACATCTCTTTAACTATTATCATAGGAGTAGACATTATCTGCTGAATAGGTTTTTAATATAAAAAATATATTATATTTATTCTCAAAGAACCTTTAACAAGTTATTTATCTTAAATGCCTTTCTTAGATTTGATGATAATTGCTTGATAACTTATGATTGATCGCTAATAACTTGGCTGGTCAAAGGATCCTTTTAGATTAAGCTTTGAATAGATATAGCATTTACTTTGAAATATAATTGTTAATAGAGAGGTGAAGTATCTTTTCTAAGCTTTTCTTTCAGATTATTTATATTATCATCAATCTGATTTGAGCCAAAAGGAATTACCTTATCCATTTTAATTACCCCTATGTTATATAAGGTACAAACACCTTCAAAACCAATGTTAAACTAAAAAAAGTATTGCATTAGATTTCAGAAATAAAAAGTAATTCTCATCATAAAAATAACACAATCATCAATGCATATGCGAAGTTATCATCTTTGTGTGACCATCACACAGACAAAACTTCATGTGATACTAACAAAGTAACATAATAATTTATATCTTACACACCCCTTGATATAGCAATAACCTTTTCACATAATAGTTTGGTAGGGTGAACTATAAAATTGTATAACAGATTATAGCATATACACCCTCTATTATGTGTAAGTATTTATTGGCAAGCGAGCTAAATGGGTAGGTCGAATATAAGCAACAAATTAAAAACAACTTGTTTATTCAGATTTACTTTAGTAAACAATCACACAGTATCATCATATAATAATAAAGCTAAAATATTTACATAAATCTTAACTAACCTGTGGTAGAATTCAGAAAATTTTTAATTGATGAGAAGAACCTTCCATAAATGCATTGCTAACAGATCCTACAGCTCATTCTACAATTATAATTAATTTTAATTCTATTTAGGAAACCCAGCAGTTTTCTTTTATTCAAAGATAAATAATAGACATAGCATTTATTTGGCATTTTTCAGCAATCATCAAGAATTTATAAATCTTATTATACATTATGATAGACATATTTACGTAGTTAATTTAAAATATAAAATAATATTAATATACTGAGATAACGCCAACAGCAAAATAAATGACAAAAAGCTAAAAATTACCTATATTACCCTTTTAAATGTCACCATTTTCTCATATTTACATTCACGTTCATCTTGAGGAAGTGATAGGAGAAAATATACAAGACACTTTGCACTAAAATTCTATGTTTGTTAGTAAAAATATGTAGAATGTGCATTGAAGATCTTAACATTTATAAAAGACGTTGGGATAATGCATATACAGACTTTTTTCGCTTACCTGATTACTCAATAGTTAATATTAAGATCCAAGCAACATTATATAAAATATTTTGTTTAGAATCCAGTGGTATCAGAAAGCCTGTCCTTTTAGAGCAAATATTTATATCAGTAAATGTTATTCTGCTAAATCTTATTTCGCTAAATGTTGTAAGAAAAAAATTTGAAATATTTTAAAAATCGCTTTATGTGTGAAATTATTTTGTTGTACAAGCGATAGTCACACTCGCATAGATGATTTGCAGTGTATCATTTATTATATCATATATACTTTAACGAGGATCGAAAACGTACTAATTTATGTCGCACATGCCTATATGCATTATAGTGGAGAAGGTAAAAAAATAAATTGATTTATTGTATTATGATTATAATAATTTTATAAGAATAAAGAATCTATACTTCGAAAAATTCATTACACATACTCACAATTATTGTTCAAATCTGAAGAAATCTATGTTAATTTCTTCTTCTAAAATATAAAGATATTTAGTTTTAAAATAATTAATTTTTAGTGAATCATATAAATATGATTTGTCTGCCATTTTACATACGTATTGCCTATATTTTGAGCTTCTAACAAAGTTTACATTACCATTATTGAGATATTTGTCAATACGGTAATATTCAAGATTTGATAGCCACTTTAATATATAAAACTAATATAGATATTGAATAATTTTATAGCCTTGCTGATGTAATACTATAAAAGTAACAATATATGTTACAATATTTAATCATTCACATAATTGTTCTTTCTTTCTTTCTATCCAGTTGTTAGAAAAAATACTCCCTTTGCGATGAATAATTATATCCTTTGTTAATCATAACAGTGCTTTCAGCACTACGTAAATTATGTTATTGACGAGTGATATGATTTTTTATTTTCTAAGAAATAACACCTAAATACTTCTTATCATCAGGAGTACTATCATTCCTAACCATATTTCAGACTCATTTTGTCCATGTCTTAGGTCTCAATTTGAAAGCTCTCCAAGCCTGTTAGACAACTTTTGCACTATTAATTAAACAATTTACAATGCTTTTCCTACCTTCATGTGAACAATCATAACTATAATGAGCCAAACTTTTACTGTACATAATCTAATATGTTTGATAAATCTTATCAACTTCATCAGAACTGAGCGATGATACACTTTCTCCTTTTTTCGCATTCTTTCATACAGAATTAAAACGCATTTTAGCAGTTTTAGTAATATATTCATTCAGATGCTTATTAGTACATTCAATGGTATTTTCGTGGATAATTACTAAGAAGTCACATACAGTGCAATAAATATGAAATGAGCATCTCCCAGCTTTAAATTTTCCATCTTTATATGATCTTTCAATCATTTGAATAAATCCATTCTTGGAGAAGTATTTTGGGTTATATTCGAGAAATTTCTTAAATGGATAACGAATATGAGAACACCACATTACTGGTGTTTCACCACTATACCTATATTGCAGATTGTTTAACGCCTGCACTACTACAGGATTTAAACTATAATAGAAGCTAGTTTTATCCATTTTACGAGTGTAAGCGGATGATAGCGATTTATAACAATTTCACTGATTTTGTTGATTTATAGCGAATTTATAGACTTATAGCAATTCTTTACAACTTATACTATTAGAAATAACAGATTCATTTTCATTCGATTACAAGCAGACAAGTGCACATATGGCCTGATGTCAAGATTCGGTTAAATTAGATCCGAGTCAATATAACGGCTAAATTATGATCATCATTGTATCACTCGGCGCTAGCCTGGTACTATCATGGCGCCGAGTTGTTTCTCAAATCACAGGATGATCGACTAATCAGATTTCGGATTTTTTCTTTAGCCGGATAAGTGGGAAATAAAACACACGTGAAAGAAATACCCGCTATTGCTCTATGGTAGACGGTGTCCGGGCTCGTCAAAATTGCGCAGAAGATTGGATTGATCATGTGGCGCAGTGCATTATCAACCCTTCTGTTTTAAAATTTTGGCAATTACATAATTGGTTTCATCCTTGGTTAGTTCACCTGTGACCTGCCCACTCACTTCGTTCATGTCCAGAAAGCAGTAAACAATATATAATAACTTGTTATTTTAATTACTCTAGAATAGGCCGAGAAGGTACATCCGATGAAAAAATCACGTGCGCGTTCCGTTTTGGAACGCTGATCACTTCGCTAGTACATATCAAGTAAAACTATAAACATTTTTATTTTTTCCAATGCAAATTTTACACCCACCACCACACCGCATACGCGTTAAAAAGATAAAGCCCAATGTAGGCGAAACTTTATTAAAATGCATTTTCATTATTTTTACGAAAAATAGGTATGTACTTAGCACTGTGTAATTCAAATGTTTATTACCAACTTTTGAACGAATCACGCAGAAAATTGACTTTATATTGTACAAAAAAACATAAATAAGAAAAATGAATGAGCAATTACATGCGAAGATCAAAGTTACATCAAAAAATATGCTCACCGCTTTCTGCTATTATAATTTATGCTGATCACTAGCTATAATAATATACCATCACATATTAAAATATATAACAGATAAAACAAATTAAAACCTTATATATTAGATCGAATGGGAGAGCTACCTGGATCACTATCTGCATAAGTAGCTGTGATACCTTTTTTGTGTTTTTCTTTTTGCGGAGTAAATGGATGTGATGGGAGAGTACCAGAAAGCTTGGACACATTCGTATCCGAATCGTTGTGTTCTTCTTGTAGTTTATAAATGACTTCGGCAACTTCCAACAACCAACACTATGAATTGAGAAGATAAGTTAATGACAAAGCATAATAGAACAAAACAGTCGAAAGAAGGATACATTACCCTGAGATCCCACAAGACAATAACAAAATCAAAGATGCATTTTCGCTCCTCCTCAAAGCAGATAGGAACGACTGTCTTATGTGTCCGTTCGTATTGTAGGACTACGCAGGACGGAACATGCATTCTCCACAATTCAATCCGGTTCTCTATGAAATGCAAAGGTTAGAATAACAAATTATAGAAGCAATGCACTTTAAAAGAAACACTTTAAACACCCACCATAGGTGTGTATAGAAAAGACGCTTATTTTCGAGAATGTTTCAGTCGAAGCTCCTCGAAACCGCTCTCCAATCTCTTCCAACATGTAAGAATTTCCGATCGGCAACTTACAACATCCGTCCCACGTTGATCTAGGAAGATCTTTGTGTCCGTACCCACCGCTCATTTCTAAATG